AAGTGAGTTTTGCAATTCGCCGCACCAAGCTACGAACTCGTCAGGGACAAGTGAAGTCAATCCCTCGACAAACGCTCTGCCCAATATCGCCGAAGAAGAGACAAAACGGGAAATGAAGATGAAACTAATTCCAAGGATTCCATGGGAATTCCAAATATTTGGACAGAAAGAAGAATGGTAGTATAACCGTTTTAGGCAGAGCGTTTTGCCGAGGGTCTCTGATGGGTTCATAGCTTGGTGCGGAGAATGGCAAAACTCACTGATGATGCCGGCGAAACGTTTGAGAATGTACCAGGTCCAATGTCTGATGCTGGGAATCATAACAACTACGGACTAGGTGCATTCTACTAAGTCCCCCTGACAACAAGAACAAGTTGCGACGAGGTTAATCCACTTCTATGCTTTCGTTTAGCATAGTTTCGATTTCAGGCAGTGCTTCAATGCCCATGATTGCTCTAACCTTCGGATCAATCTGGTCTCAAAAACATTAAGGTTAGCTAGATTGTGGTGTCTTAGGTATAGCGAGGGAGAGAGTAGAATACTAAAACTTCTGGAAATGCCACTTAACACAGTAGGGTCCCGAAATGCTAGAAGACATTCTGCTGTATTCGCATACTATGATTATGAGCTCTCGGCTAAGTGAGACAAATGACCAAGTATTTAAAAAAATTGGCTCCTACCCGGCATCGCTCCTGTGAAGAAAGATCGTTGAATCCATGTACTGGGAAAAACGGACCCCCGAAACGGCGATTGAATTTTGATGCGGAGACGGTCGAACCGGGAGAGCAGGCTGGTTGGATTTCATTTGGGCCGCCTGACTCAACCTGAGCTGGGCGAGGAAGGGCAGATAAGTTGCTGCCACGGCGACCACTAAAAGTAAGCGCAGAAACACCCGACTCCTGGCCGCCGAGACTGGATGTGGGTGATGCAAAATTTGGAGGGACCGAAGCGTCGGAGAGGGGAGTGGTCTGTGGTTGATAGGCAGGGCGAATGGAAATGTGGCAAGGTAATCAGTTGTTCACGCTGCATATTTACTAAATGATTACAGTCGGACAAAGAAGACAATTGTAAGTCAATCCTGCCATTTGGCCCTTTTGAATTGTTGCAAACATGGTATCACCTCCCGATTCTGCAATCTAATGAGGAAATGTCATTCGGACACAGTTAATGAAATACTTTATCACGCCTCCATCCAGAAATTAAAGGAAAGTTACGATACCGAGAGGCGTAAGCTATTTAAGTTCATAGATCTCAAGTCTAGCTTAAGGATTCAGATAGAGTTCTCGCTTCGGATGACTTTTAAAAACTCCAGAGCATGGCCGATCAGCAGTAACAGGGGTCCGGGATCTGATAAATGAGCGACATGACAATAAATTGCTTAGTTATGGGATAATAAGACAATACAAGACCAAGCCAACCCGGGCAAATTGTGATGGTTCTCTATTGAAGGCATCAATTTCTACAGTCAACAATAGGACAAAGGTTGTAAACCTATCTTCAATCCCTCTTAATTCTGAAACTACGGATCTTTTAAAGAAGGGGTTACATTTTTCACTAGGTAATGAACGAAATGTTGTTAGTGATATTATCCCGGTGGAAGTTGCCAACATAACGGATAAATTCCCAGAAGATACAAGGCGGGAGATGGAACTGGAAATAATCCCACGGATCCTGACACATAAAGAACCTATACAATGGAGCAGATTGGTTGGTATTCGGAAAAAATTACAAATGAATGATCAAATAGTTCTTCAGGCGGATAAGGGAGGAGCAACTGTTGTAATAGACAGGAAACCTTACACGGAGAAAATGGAAAGTATCTTAGGCGAAGGATCCAACTGCGAAGATCAACGGTACACTGAAGAATATGCTTAAGGAAATGTATACTAATGAGGAAATCGACAGATGGATGATGAAATCTTTAATCTAAAATGACGCAAGACCACCATCAGCCTACGGACTACCTAAGATACACAAGGAACGAAATCCTCTAAGACTAATAGTCAGCAACAAGTATGGAGCAATGCATAAACTAGCAAAATTCATTTGCTTGAAGCTCAAGAAAGTAAATGACAAACTCTTGAATACCGTCAAGAATTCATATGAATTTGCTCAAAGGATCCAGAACATTGGATTAATGGGGTCGGAACTGTTGGTCAGTTTCGATGTACAATCCATGTAACACAAACATCTCAGGCGAGAATGCGG